TTATGTGTCTAAATGGGTGGAAGCTGCAGCCATGCCTACCAATTATGCACGAGTGGTGGTCGGATTTCTGAAAAAGTACATATTCACCCGGTTTGGGATACCAAGAGCGATCATCAGTGACGGAGGCACTCATTTCTGCAATAGAGCCTTTGAGAAATTACTTGCTAAGTATGATGTGCACCACAAGGTGGCTACTCCTTACCATCCACAGACCAGTGGGCAAGTTGAAGTGTCCAACAGGGAGATAAAGAGTGTACTAACGAAGACTGTGAATGCCACCCGAACTGATTGGGCAAAGAAGCTGGATGACGCACTCTGGGCCTATAGAATTGCGTTCAAAACACCAATAGGTATGTCACCATACAAGTTGGTATTTGGGAAGGCCTGTCACCTGCCTGTGGAGCTAGAACATCGAGTCTTGGTGGGCACTGAAGCAATTGAACATGGATCCTGAAGCAGCTGGAACAAAATCGACTGACGGAGTTGCATGAGCTGGGAAGGTAATTCAGATATACAACGCCTGTAGAAAGCACGAGGCTCTACATGGAACGAATGAAGAAAATGCATGACAAGNGGTTATCAACCACCTCTCAGCAGCAAGATAACAACATGGTGGAGATTAGGGGTATGCTTCAGCAACTCATTGGGACAGATAATAAAGTGCAGGAAAAATTGGCAGTGCATGATTCAGCCATAAAGAATATTGAGACGTAGCTGGGTCAGCTGTCCATGGCTTTGAACAACCGTCCTCCGGGAACTTTACCTGCAAACACAAACATAAACCCCAAGGAGCAAAACCCGAATCAGCTGATGGCAGTCAGTCTCAGGAATGGTAGAGATTTAGATAGAGAGCAGGAAATTGCACAAGCCAGCAAGAATACTACACCAGCCACTCCAGTTCAATTAGAGGTAGAAGAACCAACAGAACTCACTGAAGTAGTAGTTGAGCAGAGTCAGGATGAAAAAGGCAAAGAAAAGGAGACCGAGCAAGTTGCAGAACAGGTTACACCTCTTGAGCCAGAAATTCCTAACAGAGAGAAGCCAGCCAACAATGCACAAAGGGTGATACCTGCACCATTCCCTCAGAGACTGGTCAAGCAAAAGAAGGCAGAACAATACAAAAAGTTCATGGAGATGCTGCGTCAAATCCAGTTGAATATTCCATTGATGGATGCCTTGAGGGAGATGCCCGGTTACACCAAGATGATGAAAGATTTAATGTCAAGGAAGTTTGATTTTCAGGATCTATCCACAGTAACTCTGACATAGACCTGCAGTGCAGTAGTAGCAAAACCGATGGCCCAAAAGATGTCCGACCCAGGTAGCTTTACTATTCCATGCACCATAGGGAGTTATGCCTTTGCAAAGGCGTTATGTGATTTGGGAGCCAGCATAAATCTGATGCCGCTGGCAGTGTACACCAAATTGGGCATCGGCAGAGCCAGGCCGACTTCTATGCTGCTCCAGCTGGCTGATCGCACTGTGAAAAGACCAACTGGTATTCTTGATGATGTGCTGGTGCAAGTGGGGAAGTTCGTGTTCCCTGCAGACTTTGTGATTCTGGATTGTCAAGTGGATGAGGAGATACCCCTTATTTTGGGGAGACCATTTTTGGCCACTGGGAGAGCACTGATAGACTGTGAGACTGGGGAACTTAAAATGAGATTGAACGATGAAGAAGTCATATTCAATGTTCAGCAATCAATGAGGAGACCCAGCGAATATGCGAATTGCTCTCTAGTAGAGGCAATGGATGTAATTCTGCAAGAAGATGACAGGACCCTAACTGTGAGAGATCCATTGGAAGTATGCCTGACAAATTTAGAAGAAATGGATGGTGAGGGATTAGCTGAATGGGTGATGGCATTGGAAGGCCGAGGGTTTTGGTCAAGGGAACCTCAGTTCAAGTCTCTTGAGCTGGAGAAAAGGGTCACTCCTCTAGCCAAGCCATCAATAGAGGAACCACCCAAACTGGAGATGAAGCCACTCCCAGATCACCTCAGGTATGCATTCCTAGGCCCTGATTCGACTTTACCTGTTATTATATCATCCTGTTTGCTAGATGTGCAGGTAGAGAAGCTATTACAGGTACTGAAGGATAACAAGACTGCCATTGGTTGGACCATGGCAGACATAAAGGGTATCAGCCCAGCCTTCTGTATGCATAAGATTCTCCTAGAAGAGGGGCACAGACCTTCCAGGGAACATCAGCGAAGGCTGAACCCTAACATGAAAGAGGTTGTAAAGAAAGAGGTGATCAAATGGTTAGATGCGGGAATCATTTTCCCCATCTCTGATAGTAATTGGGTCAGCCCTATCCAATGTGTTCCGAAAAAAGGGGAATGACTGTTGTGAAAAATGACAACAATGAGTTGATTCAACTCGTACAGTCACAGGGTGGCGAATCTGCATGGATTACCGGAAATTGAACACTGCCACCCGAAAGGACCTCTTTCCCTTGCCCTTCGTTGACCAAATGTTGGACAGGCTGGCTGGAAGATCGCACTTTTGTTTCTTAGATGGATATTCGGGGTACAATCAGATATCGATAGCCCCCAAAGACAGAGAGAAAACATCCTTCACCTGTCTGTATGGCATCTTTCCCTTTCGGAGAATGCCCTTTGGGCTTTGCAATGCACCAGCGACTTTTCAACGGTGCATGCTAGATATCTTCATAGATATGGTGGAGGATATTATGGAAGTCTTTATAGATGATTTCTCCGTGGTGGGAGATTCATTCGAAGACTGTCTTCACAACTTAAGCAGAGTGCTCAAAAGATGTGTGGAGACAAACTTAGTGTTAAACTGGGAGAAGTGCCATTTTATGGTACAAGAAGGGATAGTCCTGGGACATCGAGTGTCCAGAAAAGGAATTGAGGTCGACCATGCTAAGGTTGACGTGATTGAGAAGGTACCACCGCCCACTTCAGTCAAGGCGGTGAGAAGTTTCCTTGGTCACGCCGGATTCTACCGGCGTTTCATAAAAGATTTTTCCAAAATTGCTAACCCATTATGCAAACTCCTTGAAAAGGATCAACCCTTTGTGTTTTCTAATGATTGCAGGTTGGCATTTGAGGAACTGAAGAAGAAGTTGACAACTGCACCCGTCATTGTTACTCCTTACCATCCACAGACCAGTGGGCAAGTTGAAGTGTCCAACAGGGAGATAAAGAGTGTACTAACGAAGACTGTGAATGCCACTCGAACTGATTGGGCAAAGAAGCTTGATGACGCACTCTGGGCTTATAGAATTGCGTTCAAAACACCAATAGGTATGTCACCATACAAGTTGGTATTTGGGAAGGCCTATAACCTACCTGTGGAGTTAGAACATCGTGCTTGGTGGGCGCTGAAACAATTGAACATGGATCCTGAAGCAGTTGGACAAAATCGACTCACGGAGCTGCATGAGCTGGAAGAATTTAGGTATCAAGCCTTTGAAAGCACGAGGCTCTACAAGGAACGAATGAAGAAAATGCATGACAAGCACATCGTGGACAGAGACTTTAAATCCGGTGACATGTTACTATTATATAATTCATGGTTGAGATTGTTTCCGGGTAAGTTAAAATCCCGATGGTCTGGGCCATTTAGAGTGGTGCAAATGTTTGCAAGTGGAGCTGTTGAGATTGAGTCGGAAGACGGGACAAACAAATTCTCCGTTAATGGACAAAGGTTGAAACATTACCTTGGAATAGCTGCAGAAAAAGGGGAGACAATGGTGACCAATTTAAAAGAGCCCCAATACGAGAATGAGGAGTAAGAGCTCAACTACTTGCGTCGTGCCGCGACGTTAAATCAGGTGCTGCGTGGGAGGCAAACCACGAATTTGTTATAAGTGTAATGCATAACTTCATAAAAAATAAAAAAACATTTAGTAGTAGGAACACGCCCAGACCGCGGTCCCAGCGTAACCGCGGCCGGACCGCGGTCACACACCCCCTCTGAAGTTTTCTACCGCGGTCCCAGCGTAACCGCGGTCCAGGACCCTCTCTGGAGCTTTCTACCGCGGTCCCAGTGTAACCGCGGTAGGACCGCGGTCAAACACCCCCTCTGAATCTGGTCTACCGCGGTAGGACCGCGACAGCCCAGATCGGTCCCAGGCCAGGTAATATGGCCCGAAAAAGGCAAAGAGGCTCGGCAAGCACTTCCCACGTGCCAACATATGATGAAACCAGGTTCCAGTCTCAGGGGGCAGAGGAGGCATTTCATGCTAAGGCCTCCAAAACCTTTGTCCCTGAGATTGCTGTTGACCGGGCTGCCCTCCGTATGGAAAGTGCAGACATGTATGAGGAAATTCGAAGGAGGGAGATGGAGTTCTTATTTGATGANTTTAGAGTGGTGCAAATGTTTGCAAGTGGAGCTGTTGAGATTGAGTCGGAAGACGGGACAAACGAATTCTCCGTCAATGGAAAAAGGATGAAACATTACCTTGGAATAGCTGCAGAAAAAGGGGAGACAATGGTGACCAATTTAAAAGAACCCCAATACGAGAATGAGGAGTAAGAGCTCAACTACTTGCATCGTGTCGCGACGTTAAATCAGGCTTTGCGTGGGAGGCAACCCACGAATTTGTTGTAAGTGTAATGCATAACTTCATAAAAAAACATTTAGTAGCAGGACCACGCCAAGACCGCGGTCCCAGCGTAACCGCGGCCGGACCGCGGTCACACACCCCCTCTGAAGTTTTTTACCGCGGTCCCAGCGTAACCGCGGTAGGACCGCGGTCCAGGACCCTCTCTGAAGTTCTCTACCGCGGTCCCAACGTAACCGCGGTCGGACCGCGGTCAAACACCCCCTCTGAATCTGGTCTACCGCGGTCCCAGCGTAACTGCGGCAGGACCGTGGCAGCCCAGATCGGGCCCAGGCCAGGTAAGTTCCGAAAATGTTTAAAAAAAAAATTTTCTTTTCTCCTTTCTTTTCTTTTCTCCCCCCTTTCTTAACTATCCTACCCCCTCTTTTTCCCCAAAACACACGACTCAACCCCCCCATTCCCTTTCTTTTCTCTCATCTCTCTCCTTCCCTCTTCTTTCATCTTCCTCACAACCAAAACCCTAAATCCCCAATCTCCCCCAACTTTCTTCTTCTTCCATTCACTCCATTCATCTCCAAGGTAAACTTCTTCTCTTCTCTTCTCTTTTCTTCACATAGCTTAGTGTAATTTAGTTTCCACTAACCCTAGGTAGTGTTGTAGAGTAAAAATTTTAATTTTTTTTTCTTTTCTTTTTTTATTTCTTTTTCTCTATTATTTGCTTCTTTTGGCCATGATTGATGCTTAGATGGTTGGATTTTCATTATGCTTAACTTGTGGGGGATTTGTAGTATGTTTGGAGGCCTAACAAAATTTTTTAGGGTGAAGCTTGGTGGAGGGGCCTATATGGCCGAAAATCAGGGGTGTGTTGTAGATCTTGGAGCACTTTGTGCTCTTCTTAATTGGTGGTGGTGGTGGTAGTTGACATATTTCACTGGTGAGGGGTGTGTGGGGTATTATTCGGAGGAATTGGAAAAATTGATAGTGGTGTGAGGCAGTAGTAGAGGTTGGAAACTTTGGTCAACTTACTAATTGGGTATACTGGCATTGATTGACACAAGAAAACTGTTTGGTGCCATCGGGTGGCAAAGTCTGAGTAACCATCCGAATGGCCCATGTTAGGATGCATCTGATTGTTGCCCTGAATTGTTTGCAGGTACTATGGCCCGAAAAAGGCAAAGGAGCTCGGCAAGCACTTCCCAAGTGCCAACATATGATGAAACCAGGTTCCAGTCACAGGGGGCAGAGGACGCATTTCATGCTAAGGCCACCAAAACCTTTGTCCCTGAGATTGCTGTTGACCGAGCTGCCCTCCGTATGGAAAGTGCAGACATGTATGAGGAAATCCGAAGGAGGGAGATGGAGTTCTTGTTTGATGAGCCTGAGACGGCAAACCCGATGATAGTCCGGGAGTTCTACGCGAACTGCCCGGAACATTTGGGCCGGGAGGTGATTGTGCGGGCAAGGTAGTGGATGCCTCAATTCGGAAGATTCGCCAGGTCTTGCAGTTGCCCTAGTTTACTGGTGACATTGATCATTACCACGATGCCCAAGGGGTCTCTTGGGACACTATGATTGCGACAATCTGCGCAGAGGGTCAACCAAGCTGGATACAGGAAAACATTACCCTTCACTCTAAGTCGTTCACACATGAGGCCAAGTGCTGGTTCACCATCATTTGCAGCCGGTTCTTGCCCACAAGCAACACGACAGATGCGAACCACCTACGGGCTCTACTGGTGTGGTGCTTCGTCACCAAGAGGGACTTTGATGCGGAAAGAATTATTGGTGATGAAATGATCCTTCGGTCATCTCTGCTATCTAAGGGGTTTTACTTTCCCTCACCGGTGACGAGGTAGTGTCTGCTAAAAGGTGTCCCCACCAGTCCTACAGATAGAGCTTTCCCCGCAAAAATACCATTCAGAGCTTCTAGGATCACAGTGGGCAGAGATGCACCCACAACCATTGAGATTGATGATGAGGATGACGCCACAACACCCATGGCACCTTCCAGGAGATCCTATGAGGGAGCCGGATCCTCTCGGCGACCCCATACTGGGGCAGGGTTCTCTCGATCACAGTCCAGCTGGCCGATGTTGCGTTCTATGGAGGAAGAGGTGGCAGATCTTCGCACCTCAGTTGATGGCCTACATGTGCGTATGGATGCCATGTCTCAGCGGCAGGCCGGGTCTGAGAACCGGTTTATGGCTTGGTTCCGTGCTTTGGGGAGGGCTTGTCATATGGACCCCAGCACCGTCTCCGACTCCTACTGATGCTCAGGGAAGTCTTCTTACCCTTCTGCTCTTTATTTGTGATATGACATGGGGACATGCCATAATTTTTTGTGTGGGGTGGGAGACGTGCTTTAGTGGTGTATTGTTAGTGTACATATACATTGAGTATGTTGTAGTTCTGTATCTTTGTTGTTGTATATAATTGGATGTACTCATCTTGCAAGTAACTGACTTGGCCCAACGGCGGACACTTGTCGACGGGTCTCTTGAGGGTCAAAGTCGGATTTAAAAAAAAATTAGAAAAGGTAGGGGACTCTTCCTGAGGACGGACCACTTGGACAAGTACTCTTGAGGGAAGTAGTCCACTTAGATTTTTTATTTTTTAGGTAGTGTAGTAATTCCCCCTTGGTTTTTCTTTTGACCACGGTTCTTTTCCAAGGGCTTTTCTTGAACCGGGTTAGGTAGATTTTTCTTTGATATTTTTAGGACCCTGAAGACTCTCTTGGACTGAGAAGGGTAAGGGCAGGAATGCAACCTATAACGTACACACCTGCTAATAACTAAACAAACTTGAGGGTGCGACGTCTAGGCTCGTTTGTAGACTCGTAAATTATGCCTTAATTGTGCACACCTTGTCTTGCTTGAACACTCATGTGAGTGTGTTGACAAACTAATTCGAAATGAGTTACATGCCAAGTGTGTGTGAGGAAATACCTGTATTCTGTGCTTGCATGCGATACCTAGAACTTGCTCGGTGTGTTTGCAAAGCGAAATAGAAGTTGTTTGGTCTTAGAGATGATTGAGGCATTTCTTTGTGTAGTCGGTCTAATTATGAATCCACCTGTATGTATCACGATAGTTAACCCCTTTGAGCCTAAAGCCTGTTTCTTTGATAACCTTGCAATAACCTACATCCATGTGTTGAATAGCTTGAATGTTTGACCCTTTGCTAGAAGCACTTGAATTGTTAAAGATCATGTAAAAGTCAAAGTGTTGGGTGATAAGGGAGTAGGAAAAGGGGAATCAGGAAAATACTTGAATGGTGCAGTGGTGGTTAAAAAAAAATTAATATATTGAAATATAGAAGAAGGACCTTGCAAATAGGTGGTCCTAAAGTAGTGAATGGCAAGAAAAGCCAGTTGCACCTAGAAAAGCGGGGGTAACTTATGAAACAAGTGTGGAAGGATGACTGGGCTGAACATGGAAATCGGAATAAAGGAAAAATATATTAAAAGTGCTTAGGGAGGTTAGTCACTATACCCAAATATATCCTAACCGTCCCTTAGCCTACATTACAACCAAATAAAGACCTCTTGATCTTAGACTAAAACAACTTGATGAGTAGAATATTACACTAATGGCAAGCTTATGGTGTATCTGTGTGGCATGTGAATGTTCTTTGCTGAGAGTGAGTGAATTCTTTTTATCTATAGTTCCTTGTACTTGATTTTATATGTGTGGAACGTCTCTCAAAAATGTGATGTGAGGGCATGTGACTCGGGAAGAAAAAAGCAAGTTTTCACCTCTGTTTAGAGTAACTAGAGTAAGCACGTGTGTGGCATGGCATTAGAGTCTTCATATGAGGTGTGGCTGTTGCACTGCTTAGGTTGTTCTTTCATAATGGCGGGTGTGACATAAAACTGGGCAATGCATCGAACGATTAGGCCTAGAAGTGTGGTTCAACTTGCTCGAGGACGAGCAAAGATTTAAGTGTGGGATGTTGATAATAGGTGAATTGAACTATGATTAAGCCCTAAAAGAACCACTTTCTTGTAGAGTTTTTATGGTAAAAATGATAACAAAATGCTCTTATTAGTGATTTTCATGTTTTGCAGGTTACATACAATAAAAGAAGGCTATGGAGTACTTTTTGGGATCAATTATGGAGGAAAAAGAGGCCAATCGCATAATATCCGCCAAGTGCACCATGTGAAATGCACAAACCAGAACTGGAGATGAGCTGCCGCGGTCCCAGCGTAACCGCGGTCGGACCGCGGC